GATCTTAAAGATCATCTTGTTCCAACCCTCCCGCCACGGGCAGGGCGTGCAGGGCAGGATCCTTGGGGATTTCTGGTTTGACCGCAGCAGAGCTGGGAGCAGTGACTCCAGGCGGGCAGCACGGCTCGCCTGCACGGAAGAGTCCCAAATCCAAGCCCTGGAAGAGGCTCCTTTTCCTCACCCCTACGCAACACGGGGGAGCTATCGGGGCTGGCACGGTCCCAGCGAGGTGTTGGCAGGGAGGAAATTGATGCCGACAGGGACATCCAGGTGTCAGGAGAGGGATTAGGGCTTAATCCCCGCGGGGCAGAGCCCGGAGCGAGCCAGCGGGACGAGCAGCAGCGCAGCAACTCCTGCACAAACCGGATCTCTCACGCTTGGGATCACTTGTGTTAAACAAGACCTGTTTGTGGTTGGCTTCGGGTGCCTTTAAGCCTTTCCAATAATTCCCCCGGGAAGGCTTTGGAGTTGGTTTTGGTAGACAGCACCCACGCCGGCGCCGCGGGACAACAAACGGCGTTCCCATGCCCTGCACCCCGCTCCCGGCCAAGCCGCGCTCTGTTTGTTTTGCAAAGCAAAGGACAGTGGCCTCGCTTGGTAAAGTCCAATCCCTCCGCTCGGAAAAGTTACCGGGAACAGCCCTGAATCCACGGAAAAAACCCGAGCCTCCCCGATCTCTTATATTCCAGCGCGGAAGGGAGGGTTCAAGCCCGCGGCGTTACGATGGATCCCACCCCAGCCATAACCCAGGACCCACCGCGGGGGGGTTCCCACCACACGGAGGGGTCCTCCCCCCTTCTCCCCCGCATCCCAGCGCTCCCACCTTGGGATCCTTCTCGTAGTAGTACTGCTGGGTGCGGATCCAGCGCCCCACCAGGTGGTCGCGCACGGTGTGGGCCAGGGCGAAGTAGTAGTCGCGTGGGGTGGCCACATTGCGGTCCTTGACCAGGGTGAAGTGCAGGTGCCGGTTGAAGCCCCGCTTGAGCTCGGCCACGTTCTCGGCGCCCACGATGCCGCGGATGCTGATCTGCTTCCGCCGCTCCTGGTCCGAC